AGTCAATAGCAAATACTTAAACTAATAACAAAACGCACTTACAGTCGCTGATTCAAAAGCGCCAGATTGTCATAGCAAAGTCGGAATTGACACTTTTTTTTTTAGAAATAGCCTTTGTGCACAGCCAGCCTTGTACTCTTCTAGGTTCAAAAAACTGTCGTCCATAAAATGCGTTGCACAAATTCGAACATCTGGGTTGTGCTGTTCTGTTGTAAATAAATCTTAACCAATGATTCCTAATTGCATCTACTTCCGGAAGGCCAAATAAAGTGCTTTTGCTTTCGCACTGAATCACACAGCTCTCCCTGACATGGCTGCATCAACACTACTGCTGTTCCTGAAACCACGCCTTCTTTCTTTGCGTGCACATTTGGGCGGCATTATGCTAATATTTCCACATAGTGACGTAGACGTGGGGGCGTGTTAGAACGAGCCGTTTTAGGTAGGTGTGGCTGACTCTTAAATTTTATAAAGAATATCTCTTTGGATTTGAGACTTTAGTCTTTGCAACTTTACATATCTTCTTTATGCACCAAGAGCTTGTAACACTCCAAAGAGAAAGGAAAACTTGAAATCGCATCATATGACCCCTTTAAAAACAATCACAAAGGGGTATTACTAATGTATTTTATGTTGTAGAATAAAACGTGAAATATCTTGAGCTTGTGTTAACTGCAGACCTTATTTCAGGCATTTAACCAAAAATCCATTTAAAATAAACCCATCGACTGGAGCAACAGAACCAGAAGTTCTAGGTTTTGGCCAACAAAAATACATCATCCCTACATTTTTTTAACGCATATTGTAGCATCATTAATAGAGTGCTATTAATGATGCTACAATATGTGTTAAAAAAATGTAGTGTTACTTTTTTCAGACTAAAAGTACTTTACTGATTATTTCTTTTAACTGTAAATTGTGAGAGCAGTTTTTTTTCTCATTATTATTGATCAGGGTAAAGACACTACCACCATGGCAGACAAGACGATTGTGAAATCAGCAGAGGAAGCTGTGCTGGTTAGTTCTTCAATATTCACTGTTCCACTTCTCCAGCACAAGTTTGGCTGAGACAGCATCTTGTATCCCCATTCCTGCATTTAAAAATTCAAAATATCCAGCTAGTCATGACAGCTTTGCTTCCACTGACACTGACAAGGACTAATTAGTGCTTTCTAAGAAACATCAGGAGATAACAATGAACAAATTCCACATGACATTCCCAAATTTTCATTACAGCTGGCTGAAGATCAGCAGGGTTTTTTAAAGCTTGCATAATAAAAGTAATAGATATTTCCTTTTTGTCTGGAGAGGACTGAAATGCAAACATCAAGCTTTTTAAGGCACATTCTGCTACTATGGCTTTCTATCAGTGGTAAGAATGCCCCCCCTCCCTCCTTTTATCTTCAGTACATCTTGTTCTTGATTTTTGGATCACAGCTGTGCAAAAACAAGTTACCCAGTGACTTGAACACTGTAGTCTTCTCACGCTGAGCAGGAAAGGATCCATTTATAACTTCTCCGAGCTCTGCGAATACTTCAGCCTGGGTAAATAATGAGCATGTAAACTATTTAGGAATTTGGGTGTACTATATGTATGACTCGAATAATTGTTGGTGAAATCAGCTATATTTTATTGATGGTAAGTAATGCATACTCCAGACAGAATGATGTCTCCTGACTCTGCTGTCGCCCCCTCTCTGCTGTCCACATACACCACAGCCTCTCTCATCAAGACATCATCCAGTTCCCTCCAGTCTGGCCGACAAGCGCCAACCGCTGTCACAAAACAGATAAATACACAATGTAGTAACCAGTGTTGGGGGTAACGCATTACAAGTAACGCAAGTTATGTAATCAGATTACTTTTTTAAAGTAACTAGTAAAGTAACGCATTACTTTTTAATTTAGAAGGAAATATCGGAATTACTTTTTCAAACAAGTAACTCCAGTTACTTTTTCCCCCATGTATTGACTGACAGCTCTTGTGTTGCCATATTGAGAGAAATCGGGAGTAAGTGCAGAGGCGTTGTGTGCGCTGTGTGAACGTGATGCTTACTGTAGTTCTACACTAAATATGAACAGATTCAGTATTCCTCAAAATGAATAAAAACTGTCAAATGCAAACTCAGAATATTATACAAACCTGCAATAATTAAATATGTTAAATAAGACAAATATCGTTTATGTATTTAATCCCATTTTATTAACCAATGTCTTTGCTGCTGACCTTCGATGATCCAATTCAATCATACTAATAATCAAAAATGACACATTTGTGTTATTGCTGAATAGTGTTGAACTTTCTTCTCCTGCATCATATTCTTCATGCAAATTGTTTGAGCTGCGCCCTCTACTGTACAGATGTGAGTTTACATTTCCTTCAGCCTGAGGCTCATTCATTTCACTTTTGTTGTGAAAGGGCTTTTACACTTGTAAAAGAATAACTTTTTATATTAAAAACAAACAAATAAGTCCAGCCCAGATTTAAAAAGTAACGCAAAAGTAACGTAACGCATTACTTTCCATAAAAAGTAACTAAGTAACGTAATTAGTTACTTTTTTAGGGAGTAGTGCAATATTGTAATGCATTACTTTTAAAAGTAACTTAACCCCAACACTGGTAGTAACTATCATGTTGACTTGTTGAGGCTGTTCATTAGCTGCATTGACCAACAGTTAGCCTCAGACGTCACACCCACGGACCGTTGGCTGATCGTCTGATGCATACAGCAAACAAAAGTGGAAACACTTCAGGAGTTTCGAAGTCGTCATCGGATTGGTTGAATTATACAGGATTTCCGGGAGACGTGTGTGTCGCGTTCTTTAACGTTCCGCCTGGAAACAAAGATGGCGTGCTGCCAAACCCCCTCACGAAAGAGGAAAGCCATCGTGCTTACAACTGTGACGACGAGCGCTTATCAGGATCAACTAAACGCTGCATTTTCAAAAGTATGTGAAAAATTTAAAGTTTGCGACATAGAATCTTTAAAATACGTCTGAGAGTTTTACACATCGGTCTGTGAACAAAACGAACTGTGATTGGTTGTTTGACATGTCGGTCAAACAGCCTCATAGGCGGGCCTAGGCCAATGAAAGCTGCCATGGATTCCAGACGTTCAGCCGTCAGTCTGAAGGTCTGGCTACGTGAGACTAACCAACAGTAAGCAGCTTGGTTTGAAAGGGACTGTAGCTGTACTTCATTAATCGCTAATTATGGATCGTTTTTGCCTTTGCAGTTCCTCTGAAAATGATGCTCATGTAACTGCATCTGAACGGTATCTTTTAGTCATGACTATATTCTAAGTATAACACAGCCTCTTGTACCTTATTGGTTAAATATCTCACAAAATATTGTAAATCTGTGGACCAGCTGACCTGCTATGTGTGCACCTGGTTTGACCCACTCGCCAAAGAGTATCGGCTGACTTGCACCTGTGGCAGTCACTATTACATCAGCTCCTATCACGGCCTCCTTCACCGAAGAACAAACTGTTACAGGATCTTGGAGATCATTAACAAACCGTTGAGCCATTTCTTTATTTCTGCTCCACACACGGACCTGAAGTGAATACAACACTGGATTACACACACACACACACAAAAACAGTTTTGAATGACTTGGACGTATTTCCTATTTTCATACTGGTTACCTCTTTGAACTTGAAGAGCTTTGTAAAGACATCATAGTGGCTTCTAGCCTGCTGCCCTGAACCAAGGATGCACAACACTTCTGAAAGAGCTGGCTTGAACAGCTGGAGAGAGAAAAACATATTCAGATTAAGTGACTTTATATATTAGCTTAAATCATTACAAATTTGGGGTCTGTTTCAGAGGAACCTACTTTAGCTGATATGGCTGATACTGCTGCAGTTCGTTTGGCTGTGATGGCCTCCCCATCCATGATCTAACATTAGAAATACAGTAATATTGTGAAATATTTTACTATTTCAAATATCAGCTTTCTAATGAATATATTTTAATGTAATTTATTGTAATTTGTCATTTATTGAAATGTATTCATGTGATCAAAGCTACGTTTTCAGCATTATTACTGCAGTCTTTAGTGTCACATGATCCTTCAGAAATCATTCTGATTTGCTGTTCGTTAAAGATATGTAACAAAATATATAAACAATGTAAATGTAGTGTAAAAAATCATAATAATAATAAAAAAATGCTTTATGTTGCTTATAGGCATGAGCAAAATGTCTGTTGAACTGATGATCATCTTATTGGCAGCGAGATTAAATGTCTCATGTTTGTTGACTTTCATTTCAGATGACTGAAATTTAACAACCGGCAGCTGTTACGTGGAAAAATAAGTACTACATAATCAACTACATATCAGTATTCAATTTATATACCCAATTTTTCATGCACAATACTCTCAAACCATTCTTCTCCCTTTTTCCCCAAACGAATAACCTTAGCTTAATTAAATCTCTAAATTTCACTAAAAATGTGAAGTATACTTTCACTAAAGCGAACTGCATAGTTTAAAAATGCATGATCTGCTTTCATTTGTACACATCTGACAGTATTTATTGAGGGTTTTATATTCAATTTGCATTGGGTAACAACAGAAAAATGGCAGAATATTTCATCCATTTTAAAAATGCCAATGTATTAATGTTATACATGCAGTATGTGCATCTATCAAATATAAAGAACCCACACAAATCATCATTTGATTTGAATCAAACTTTATTTCGGCTGTCAATTGCTGAGGAACACACTCAACATTGTTTGATTCTAACAAAAAGGGGGAAAAATCCTTAGGGATTGTACAAAAAGATCATTTATAAAACCTGAAAACAAAAGTGTAAAAAGTATGAGCTCAAACTAGGAGTCTTTCAATAGCCATCTGCACAGACTGAATCTGAGGTTTCAGCTGCGATCCCTCCTTGATGGTGACTGATGTGGCAATGACAGGTCTTGACACTCCACATGCACGTCCGAGAGCTTGTTTAGAGCGCACAAACACATACGGCACGTTCTTATCCTCACACAGCAGCGGCAGGTGCAGGATGATCTCCAGAGGTTCGGCATCAGCCGCCATCACAATGAACTCAGAAATCCCACGGTTAAGAGTTTTGGTGGCTGTGGAAGACAATAACAATCAGAGTTGGCAAAAGTGTCATTTACAATATGTAGATAATCAGGTGAACTTATACTTAAGTTATTCATTTTGGTGATTAAAGCTTTGTTTTGTCTTTGTTCCCCATTCTCAATAACCCCACAGCTTGAAAGAACAAGTTCTAAAGGGGTAACATACAGCTGGGTTTTTAATAAATGTGGCTGTCTATGCAGTAGAAATGCTACTGCTTTTAATCTGTGCTACATGACTAGAGAAAAGAGCAAAAGGGCTGTGGGGAAAAAAGGGAAGTAAACTTCAACACCCACAATGCACCTAGCAATAAGGCAGAAGATTTTAATAAAAGCTCTGGAGCGGTCAATTTTGCAGAATGTTTTACGTCATCCAGTGGACTTCCGCTGACAAAAAACAAGAACATCTTGATGCAGGACAAGTAACATGGAATAATACACAATTTTCATTTACTTAAGACAGTTGACACTGTAACAACACAAAGCTGGTTGAAAATCAGTGAACGTACCCTTTAAAGATAAGAAAATGTCAAAATATTATGAACAGATACATAAAATTTAAAACATAATAAATTACTGTCATCAATAACCACAGACTGTATAAAAACATGGACGTAGTGTCCGTGATGTCACCCGTAGGTTTCCGAAGAGCGTTTTTGAAGCCTAAAGTAGGCGGAGCCGGCCGTCGCCATCTTGGCAGCGCGTCTCTCCCGGATAATCGAAAATGGGCAAAGAGGCAGGAGCTGGTTGCTGAAACCACGCCCACCTAGCTCGACGGCGGTGACAGCAGTGGCAATCCACCTGTCACTCAATTACAACGCCCTTAATTATGCAGAACTTTAAGGTTTAATATAATTTAAACGGATGAGTTATAAAAAAAATTCACCCCCCCCTCACAGTTGTCATGAAGGGCAAAATTAGCTATATAGACCAAAACCACTTTTTGTACCAGGCTGTAAACACTTTTTTCTGCTGTAAAGTTGGGCATTTTAACATGGGATGTCTCCCTTTTGGAGCCAGACTCTAGCGGCCAGTCGATGAATTGCAGTTTTAGTCACTTCCGTGTTGGTTTCACGAAAGAGACCTGGGGTGTATTCCAGAAAGCACGGTTAACTTACCTTCAGCTAAACCCTGAACTTTCAGTTGATTAACCCCAAACCTTGCTTACCGCACTTCCACTTTTTGGCGCTAGTGGGTAACACTTCTGTCATTAAGCAGGAGTTTTGATAGTTTGTGTGAAGACTAGCATAGTAATGTAGTGATATAACGGGTAAGGATTTTTGTTATGCTCTTCGTGGACAAGCGCACCATGCTGTTTATTTCTTCTTTTGTTCAATGGTTGTTTACATGCTTAGTGCATATTGCCACCTAATTGATGGTTGTGCAATTCAAATAAGACCCAATGTATAAATACTTTTATAATTCCGGCAGGCAACATTAAAATAGCTACACGTTCAATGCAGTGAAACAACATCCTAAACTAGTAAGTCCCACGCGTATACGTTACTCACCATTGTTTGCTGTGATTTGGCCGGTGACTAACTTATAAACACACGGGTCCTCTCGGCAAGAGCTTCACGGAGGACAGTACTATTTAACTAAACAGAAAATGTATAGAGTTTAGCAAATAAACAAACGAAATCGCTCTAATGGCCAGAGAAGCTTTGGGAACTTCACTACTACCGCGACTCGCAACACGTGTTTGTGGTCGATACACTGCGCATGCTCACATTCAACCCACTTCCGGTAGTCTTTTTTATCTTTTTTTTAAACAATTGTTAATGGTTTTAACCGATCTCGAGTCAGTTTTTGTAACGTTAGATGAATAATTAATTAATTTAACGAATTTTAATAAACGTGATATAATGAAAAGTGAGATCTAGAGTTAAGATCCTATTAAGAGCCATATAACAAGCACTGCAAAATAATAAAATAACAAAAACTAAACAGAGGTCATATCAAATGATATTTAACGATTTGTAGATTACACTTTCGTAAAAACATTCATAAAAGGCGTCTTCATGCACTTTTAAGACTGTGCTCACTTTGTGTTTATATGCAGTGGTGTAAATTAAAATTAAAATTAAAATTAAAACACTCATTTTGAATAATTTCAACGTACGCAAACTCCGAGTCGTCATGTGGCAGTATATATGCATCTGTGCGTCATTTTAGTTTCGACGTAGAGAAGCAGAGAGTGAAGGATTTTGGGTAGGACATCCTTAGGTCAGCCATATTGCGGTGGTCCATCTGAAGGAGAGAGAGAAGATGAGGGGGATCCGGGGAATAAGCCAGTTATCGGTGAGAACTTGATTAACGGGGTTAAAGATGACTAGTAGAGGTTCTGCTGCATGGTTCTGTGTTGTTTTGTACGAGTGCTCTCTAGATAGGACAGATGCTGGCCTTGTTCTCATACAACCAAGCTAGACAAGATATATAGTTGACAGTTCAGCTGTGTATGTAATTTCATTGCATTCCTCGTTTTATCCATGTTTTGAATGCAGTTAACTTATATAGAGCAGCGATTCTTAGTCTTTATGCCACAGCACCTATCCTAACATTTAAAAGGGATCTATATAGTTTGTTGTATAAAGGCTGTGAAATAATAATGGCCATAAATACAGGTGCATCTCAAAAAAATAGAATATCGTGAAAAAGTTCATTTTTTTGTAATTTATTTCAAAAAGTGAAACTTTCATATATTCTAGATTCATTACATGTAAAGTAAATCATTTCAAAGTTGTTGTTTTAATTTTGATGATTAGAGCTTACAGCTCATGAAAGTCAAAAATCCAGTATCTCAAAATATTAGAATATTTACATTTGAGTTTCATTAAATGACCATCCCTACAGTATAAATTCCGGGTATCTCTTGTTCTTTGAAACCACAATAATGGGGAAGACTGCTGACTTGGCAATGGTCCAGAAGACAATCACTGACACCCTCCACAAAGAGGGAAAGTCACAGAAGGTCAATACTGAAAGGGGTGGCTGTTCACAGAGTGCTGTATCAAAGCATATTAAATGCAAAGTTGACTGGAAAGAAGAAATTGGGTAGGAAAAGGTGCACAAGCAGCAGGGATGACCGCAAGCTTGAGAATACTCTCAAG